CCGGGCTGGATTCGAACGCGCCACCTTTGGTGTATGTGGCTGGCGCCTTAGCCGGTTGAGCTACAGGCACCGAAGCCTACACCTCATTTTCAAGGTATTTCTTTACAAATGGAAACCAGGTCATTGCAGTGCTATGTTGTCATAGCAAAAGTTTGGAAATAAGTATCTTTTAATAGGGAACTGGTTAGAAATAGTATGTGCATACAGTGGCATATAATGCATTCATTAAAAAGACAGAAAATAGTTATGTGTTACTTGGAATGAGTCCCAGATTATATTAAGTGAATTAAGCAATGTATAGAAATATATTTGTATGTTTATGTTTGTTGGGGGAGGAATTGGAAGGATATCCTAGAAACTTTAAAATAGTTACTTATAGAGTATTGGAAAAGAGAGGGGATAGAGATAGAAGTGAGATTTCTGTGACTTTGAAATTTTTTTAAGTTTTACATAGTCAAAAAGTAAACAAAGTAAACACCCAAATTTAAAGCAAATTGAAACAAATGAATTTAACTCTAAGTCAAATTTGTAACCTAAGTTACCCAGAGAAAAGAATTATTTTCTGGGGCTTTTGAAAACAATACTCTCGCAATATATCTGTGGTGTCCCTGGGTATACATTGGGACTGCTCCTGTATACCCAAATCTGTACATACTCAAGTCCTACAGTCCTGCAGTCAGCCCCAAGGAACTCAGCTGTACCAAGAAAAGTTGGGCCTTTGTATACATGGAGTTTGTGCTCTTTGAATATTGTATTTTTGATTGAAAAAAAAAATCCATGTTTAAGCTCAGTTCAAAATTGTGTTGTTCAAGTGTCGACTATATATTCTAAGAATGAAAAACAAGTGCAAAGGAATCTTCAGCTTCACTCAATGATTTGTAACGAATGTTAATTTTGTTGCCGTGGTTTTGGGACTACTTACAGGCATTTTAATGTTATTGTATATGGAGTCTCAGTGTAAGAGAAAATGAAATACAAATGCAAGATTGAAGTTTGGGAAAAAATCCTAATATTAAGTTTAAATCAGAAATATCAATTTGAACGTATGTTCTATACACTGAAAGGGCCTTGAAACACTAGGATGACCAATCCCAGTTTGCCAGGGACTAAGGAGTTTTCTAGGGATGCTGGACTTTCAAGATAAAACTAGAACAGTCTGGGCAGTGCCTGTGGCTCTGTGGGTAGGACGTCCACCCCATATACTAAGGGTGGTGGGTTCAAACCCAGCCCCGGCCAAACTGTAACACACACAAAAAGAACAGTTCCAGGTAAACCAGGAGGGTTAGTCACCCTAGCAGGAGTATCCAACCTTTTGTCTCTGATGCACATTGGAAGGATAAGACTTATCTCAAGGCAACATATTAAATACATAACACTAAGGAGAGTTTATTAGCAAAAAAAAGGTCCATGCCTATTTTTAGTGATAACCAACACCGCAGATAAGCCAAAAACATCCTTGAAAAATCAGGCCATGGTCTGTGGGCCGCAGGTTGGACATTCCTGTCCTACAGTAACAATGAGGACACATAGCACCTAAATCTTGGTCTCTAAATTCCATTTCCAATTAAAAAGACCTATAGCTCCTTGAAGAATTGGCTGATTCTAGTTCTGGGGCAGGGAAAATACATATACAATGAGTCAGATATTTAGTTGTTCTTTAATGCAAAGGAAGTGTTTCGGCTAATGAGACCATGTCAACAGGATTTAGGAGGAAGAATACCCAAAATTAAGCTAATAGTAATAAACTTCAGATAAGTAGTTGGCTATGAAGGGAAGAGAGAAGAAATCAACTGACAAGGGAAATGTGAGAACTTCTGGGGGTGATGGAAATGTTCTTTATCATGGTATATACATTTAACAAAATTCATCAAACTGTCCCACTAAAAGGTATGCATTTTAGTGCATGTACATTATACCTCAATAAAATGTGGAAATAAACCAAGACCAGCCAAATGAGAAAAAACTATTTATTGACAACTTGCTAAAGCAAGGTAGTAAGCCAGCATCACTTATGTTTTGCCAGAGACTCAAAGGTAGGTAGAGAAGTAGGAAAGCTCAATGGCAAAAACAGAAGGCTTCAGGTGTGCCCTGATGGGAGGTTGTTGGCACAGGGAAGCTGGAGGCGAACTACAAACAGTTGCTGGGTTAGAGAAGCATCTTTCTCTGGTTGGTCAAAAGTTTGAAGTGGGGATAAAAACTAGAGAACCTGGCTCGGCGCCTATAGCTCAACCGGCTAAGGCGCCAGCCACGTACACCTAAGGTGGTGGGTTCGAATCCCCAGCCTGGACCCGCCAAACAACAATGACGGCTGCAACCAAAAAATAGCCGGCGTTGTGGCAGGCGCCTGTGGTCCCAGCTACTTGGGAGGCGGAGGCAGGAGACTCGCTTGAGCCCAGGAGTTGGAGGTTGCTGTGAGCTGTAATGCCACGGCCCTCTACCCAGGGGGACAGCTTGAGGCTCTGTCTCAAAAAACAAAAAAAACAAAAAAAACTAGAGAACTTGTCAGTTTGTAATCAAGCCCTGACCATGTTGAGCTGATTGTTACAGAAGTTATTGCTTAGCTTCAGGGTTGTTATTAGAGATAGCAGTCTGACTTCCAGCTTCCTCATCTGGTCATGGTAGGGAATAGGTTGGTATCTCAGGCCACTTGTTACATATAATGAGTCAGAATTCCGTTTCTAGGTATTGCCTGCCTATTGTCTGTATATTCAAGTAATTTTTATTTATTCTTTTGAGACAGAGTCTTAACTATGTTGCTCTCAGTAGAGTGTTGTGGCGTCATAGCTCACAGCAACCTCAAACTCTTGGGCTTAAGCGATTCTCTTGCCTCAGCCTCCCAAGTAACTGGGACTATAGGTACTTGCCACAATGCTTGGTTATTTTTTTTTCATTGCAGTTGTCATTGTTGTTTAGCTGGCCCAGGCTGAATTCAAACTTGCCAGACTCAGTGAATGTGGCTGGCATGGTAACCACTGTGCCAAGCCTATTCAAGTAAATTTTAGAGACACTGTAGTCAGCTTGAAGAATCTCATACAGGCTGAATTTAGGACAACTTTAATGTTACAAAGGAAGTGATTATAATTGATTACAAATACTGAATAAATAAAAATCTATGGCTGTAGTTATGGAGGAGAGAATGAAAGGCGAGAAAATGACTAGGTGCCTGCAGCTCAGTGGTTAGGGCACTGGGTACATACACTGAGGCAGGTGGTTTCAAACCCAGCCCAGGCCTGCTAAACAACAATGACAACTGCAACAACAAAAAAATAGCCGGGCATTGTGGCAGGTGCCTGTAGTACCAGCTACTTGGGAAAATGAGGTAAGAGAATCACTTAATCCCAAAAGTTTGAGGTCTCTGTGAGTTGTGACACCACAGTACTCTACTGAGGGTGACATAGTGAGAGTCTGTCTCAAAAAAAAAAAAAAAAGAAAGGCAAGAAAACTATTTTTCCATCATTGGGAGTCACTGTTACACTAATTTATTATTCTGAAAATTAGTATTTAAAGGGAAAATAGCATTTATCCTCTCCTGCCCCTTTAAAGAAAAGAATTGTGGTTCATGCTCAGTGGTGAGGAAAAATTCTTTACAATAGTGTGCCAGCTAATAAATGTAGAATAAATGACAGAAAATAACCATATGTAAATCCCAATTATATAATTGACTCAGACAAGGATTATCAAGGACTTTAAAACCTTTTTATGAAAGATTTCTGGAAAGAGAAATATTCCTGTGGCACCAAAGTATCACTCTAAAGGCTACTTATCTCATTGTAAAGAGAACACACTTGTGGTCACTATTTGAACTAAATCATCAAGTATAATATCAGGACAATCTCCTACTGACAGAAAATAGAGGAGAGAGGGTTATAGTGCAAATTAACAATACTAGCAAAATTATCCCAAAAAACTTTGAGACTATAACCAATAAATATACATTGAGCAGCTGAGTTAGCCCTACTGTAGTCTCTCAGTATCAATATCTAACCAACTTCAAGCACCCTTTCAAATAAGATATCAATATATGATGAAAGTTACTTTCATATTATTACATTAAATAGCATGTATAATACTGTTGACTTAGGTTGATATTAAGCCATTTATTTCCCATCAGCCTAGTACTTAACCTATAATTTATATTGCTACTACATTGATTTAGTTTTATTTATTTACTTATTTTTTTGAGACAGAGCCTCAAGCTGTCCCCCTGGGTAGAGTGCCATAGCATCACAACTCACAGCAACCTCCCAACTCCTGGGCTCAAGCAAGCCTCCTGCCTCCGCCTCCCAAGTAGCTGGGACCACAGGTGCCCGCCACAACGCCTGGCTATTTTTTTTGGTTGCGGCCATCATTGTTTGTTTGGCTGGCCCAGGCTGGATTCGAACCCACCATCTTAGGTGTATGTGGCTGGCACCTTAGCCACTTGAGCCATAGGCACCGAGCCGATTTAGTTTTATTTAGTAATATTAATTGGGAGATGTCTTAGTCTATTCTGGTTGCTATATGTAACAAAGTACTATTGAATGGGTAGCTTATAAGACAGAAGTTTATTTCTCATTAGTTCTAGAAGCTGGGTGTCTGAGATCAAGATGCCAGCATGATTGGGTACTGGTGAAATCCCTCTTCCTGGTTGCAGACTGCTGACTTGTTATATTCTCATGTGGAAAGAAGGTAAGAGAGCTCTATGGGGCCCCTATTATAAGACACTAATCTTATCCATGGGGGTTCTACCCCTATAATCCCCTTTCAAAGGCTTCATCTCCTTAATATCACATGGGAAGTTAAGATTTCAACATAGGAATTTTGGATGGACACAGACATTCGGTCTTTTACAGAAGTATGGAGGAAAACTTTTTTTTCTGAGACAGTCTCAAGCTGTTGCCTTGGGTAGAGTGCCGTGGCATCACAACTCACAGCAACCTCCAACTCCTGGGCCCAAGCGATTACCTTGCCTCAGCCTTCCAGGGACTACACGTGCCCGTCACAATGCCCAGCTATCCCTTTTGTTGCATTTGTCATTGTTGTTGTAGCTGGCCCAGGCCGAGTTCAAACCTGGCAGCCTCGGTGTAGGTGTATGTGGCTGGCCCCCTACCCACTAAGCTATGGGTGCCATCTGGAGGAAAACTTTTTTTATTGTAGTGAGTCTGGTGTCTGGTGTTTGTTATTGTCACTCAAGAAATGCAGGGGGTCTGGAGAGATGGTCCACAATTGGTGGTTGAAGAAGTTACTGTGATCTGTGGTGCTCTGAGCTCAGAGCTGGTGTGACTATGACCATTTTAGGCTATTTCACCAGTTAGTATCTTTACTGGATCCACATTTTTCTTTCTGGAATGCTTTCCTACTCTGATGTATCACGTTATTTCCTATTCATCATTAGTAATTAGTTTAAGAGATATTATTTAGCTTAGTTTTTGTCAAGTGAAGTAATTTGTGGTTTTATTGATTTGGAAACCAGATCAAACTTTCTAGCTTACTTTTCTCTTTACTCTAGTACAGTGGTTCTCAACCTTCCTAATGCTGTTACCCTTTAATACAGGGTCATGTCATGGTGATCCCCAACCATAAAATTATTTTCGTTGCTACTTCATAACTGTAATTTTGCTACTGTTATGAATCATAGTGTAAATATTTGATATGCAGGAGACACCCAAAGGGGTCACAACCCACAGCTTGAGAACCGCTGCTCTAGTGATTTTACACTTACTTATAAAATTTTACTGTGAGTAGCAATGTAATTTATCAACCCAGTGTATCTAATCTTTCAGATTTAGTTAACGTTTAGATTTTTTAAATGTATTTTCTTTGTAGACCCCAAAGACTTCTACTGGCATTCTAGAAAAAATTTTATATATTTTTTATTTTACTTATTTATCTATTTCTTTTTGAGACAGTCTCACTTTGTCACCCTCTGTAGAGTGCGATAGCGTCACAGCTCACAGCAACCTCCAGCTCTTGGACTTAGGTGATTCTCTTGCCTCAGCCTCCCGAGTAGCTGGGACTACAGGCGCCTTCCACAATGCTTTGCCTTGGCTATTTGTAGAGTAAAATCTGGATCACA